CGGCGGAAAACAGAGCCAAAGGGGGGGGGGGATCTCTAGGTGGGTCATGCTTTGGCTTAATTCATCTTAGGAGGGAAAATTTGAATGTGGGGGGCTGTTTTAGGAAGTGTTTAATTGTCCTTTGTGTTTAATTAGGAGATTGGGGGGAAATTGTTCCTCATCTTGAATTTGAATGAGATTTGAGATCTAGGTTATTCTTGCGTTGGGCTCTTGGCATTGCCGGAGATTTGGAGAGTTATTCATTCCTCTCGAATCGAAGGAAATTGTATCTTTGCTTGCTTTCTTGCATCTACTAGTGGAATACAAGAAATTTGTTTCATTTCTCTCAGATTTCTTTAAAATCTCTCCTGTTTTCTTCTGGTTTTTGCTGTGTCCTGCTGTGGACAGCAATAATATTGCTGTTTGATCACTGATTTGGACTAGGTTTACTTGTGAACTCAAGTATTTCCTATCAAATAGTTGGGAAGATCATATAGCATTCATACATCTTCATCAATTTAATGTATCCCTCATCTTCCAACAATTTAAATTCATAATTATTAATTTCACATCTGATAAAAATTACATATCTCATACTCTTTTTTTCTTTTTTTTTTTTCTTTTTTTCTATAAATTTTAAGCCCCATATATTCTAAAACTTTTCTTAAATAACTTGTTGGCGATTCTATACTAGCTTTATTGAGATTATTCGTTTATAATGGAAATATGCAATTTGGCTTTGTTTGGTACAGCTTTTTTATTTCTTCTTAAAGTAGCTTTTTAGTATACTAAAAAATTGCTTTAAAAAACAATAAGAAAGTCATTCCAAATGAAACCTTCATTCAGTGATTATTGTTTGTGTACAATGTCCCACTTGTTGCTAACATAACAAATTGAAGCAGAATCTAAATTACTGGTAGTAAATTAGAACCGTCCTGGATTAGTTCATATGCCGAATGATTTTCTCCATAATTGATGAGCTTATGTTATTTCAGGTGCTACGCAGGGAAGCCAGGCTTGTTTGAACTTCTGGCTGAGAAGGTTTTTACTCAACTTGCTGGAATTTAACTGTGGAAACCTTGATGTACTCCAAGCTTTTTTTTTTTTTAGGGTTTAGGGTATTTTCTGCTCATCTGATTAGTAATTGTTATAACAAGAATTGATCATTTAGAAAACTTGAAAAAAGGGGCAAATTCCTAATTGTTTTGAGTTTGTCAACTTAAAAGTAAATTATATGGAACTTTGTATTTTTATGTGTGGTGGGACCCATAAACTTGCAAAATGATTTATTAGTGATTCTTTTCTAGTAAAATGTATCCCATAAACATCCCTAAATTGTCTCCAGTCTATTCGTATATGATCAATTTAGTCTCAGAGTATTATGATGTCTCAATTTGGTTTTTTGACAATACAAAATTGATCTAAAATAGTCTCTCATTTTATAATTGTACTATAAGTTGATCCTAATTTAGGCTTCGTTTGAGACAGTTTTGTTATTGTTTTCTAATACAAACGTTTCTAATTCAATTAATTTTTTACTAAAAAGTTATTTTAGAAAGCAATAATAAAACAATCACAAACGAAGCCTTAGACTTTGTTTGGGACGGCTTTCTTGCCGCTTTTTTAAGTAGTTTTTTAGAAAAAATTAAAAATTTTATACTAAAAAGTTATTTTAAGAATCAGTAAGAAAGCTGTCCCAAACAAAGCCTTAGTTTCTTGACTTTACAAAATTGATCATAATTTAATCACAAAGGGGCCATTTTGGATTGTATAGTCGAGGCACTAAATTGGAATAACATTATAGGCTCCGTTTGGGACGGCTTTTTAACTGCTTCTTAAAGCTGCTTTCTAAAACAAAAATTAAAATTTTTGAATTAAAAAGTTGCTTTAAGAAGCGGTAAGAAAGCCGCCCCAAACGAAGTAATACTCTTGAACTAAAATGATCATTTATGAATAGTCGAATGTCCCCTGAGGTTTTGCTTGCTCTATGCTAAATGTTATATTTTAATCAATACAAAGAGGGAAAGGTTTTGCAATTGATCGGTAGGATCTTGAACTATTTTGTTCTAGCGGATAGGTCATATGTGATAAACAAAAAACTAAGCTGGTTTCTATTTCCTCGAAACATTTGAGTCAATAAATAGTAAATTTATATGGGGTCAATGTGATTCAAGTAATTTGACTGTATTAGTGAGCGTGGTATTTAAGTAATTTGAATTTATTAATACAACAACAATAACATCAAGCTTTTGTCCCACTACGTAGGGTCGGCTATATGAATCTTTTTTCCGTCATTGTCCTGTTAAAGTTCAAATTCTCATTTAATTCTAATAAAGAAAGATCATACCACCCAAAGAAGAAATTTTTACGTGTGGTTAGGACTATTCGGAGGTAAATCATGATGTGTCACGTCACCCGATACACAGTGGTATACAGTAAAATGGTGATGTTGCGCGGTGATTGAACATGCTAATTTCTCCACCCCAAGAGAAGGACAATGGTAGTAGATCTCCAACTTGAAAATTGATGGAAAGGAATCTCTTATATATTTCTTCTTGATGTGAGATGTACAACAACAACAACAACAACATCAAGCCTTTATCCCACTACGTTTAAAAGATTGTGCGTGCTAATTTTAATGGCACAAATTCTTATGATTAATTATGGCTATTGGCTTCATTTGGAATAATTTTTTTTACTATTTTTTAAAGCAAAGTTTTTTGTACAAAATTTTTTTGAACTAAAACATTTTGTACTAAAAAATAGCTTTAGAAAGTAGTAAGAAAGTTGTCTCCAAATGAAACGTATATCTCGAATGAAGAATCTAAA